CACGACGCTTTCTTCCAATCCAAGTGGTCAACCATGGAGGATCACCGGACACAATTCTGTACCCTGCATTTGTGTACAATTTTCGAGCACCAACATCATCTTCATACGCCCTCAGCACAAGATACTTGAAGCCCCATACAATTGCCAGCATGTCACATGCTTTTAGCAACACTGTTGCTATTTTCTTCCTCCTGTTTTGTTGTTATATATAGATTTTAATAAACTCTTGTAAAACATAATAAAATAAAAAAAATGAGAGTACCCTGTTTTAGTACAGAGGAGAAAAAAACCGAGAGGATTTGTATATTCAGAAGTTGTCCTTAATTTTTTAAAGGTCTAATCTATGAAAGGAAGCAATTCTATGTCGCACGTTAGCACTTTTAACATGAAAACTTGTAGATTATGCCGTTAAAGAATTAACAGAGAGTTCTTGTCGTAAAAATTTTGGAAGAAAAAGTACGGACCTGAAATTTTCCAAAACGGCAATTCCGGAGATGTAAAGATATTCTTCCGCATCAGGTGGGAGACTCTTTAGCACATTTTCGTCTCTCAAAGCTGTAATATCAACAACTCCCACAAGTTGTTGTGTTTTGTTGGAAGCTTCAGTTTCTGGCACAGCAACCAAGCAAGCATACCTATATATATATATATATATATATATATATAATATTCACGTAATTAATTTCAAATGGTGTATAATTAAATGGCCTAAATAATCTAATAAATACACTCTTTGACTGGAATATATATATATATATATATATATAATAATGTACCGGTTAGGGGGCGAGTTTCTTAGTTTATATATTAACCCAGCAAGCACTTCAGCCTGTAATGTGAAAATCAATAACAATATTTCACATTATGGGTATTAAATAAGTTGTAAAAGTAAACCCATAAAATAAAATAAAAAAATCCATGATGAGAGGAAAAAGAAAAGAAATGACCTGAAAGAACTCAAAGAAGAAATCATTAAAGAGAAGAAAAGGTTCGTGGAATGCTTCGGCTTGAACACGAGCAGCACTTCTCATCTCATCACCAATCTGACCTAATCTCCTCACTTTCCATCCAAAATCACTCGCCAAATACTCAAACTCGTCTCCATAATTACTTCTTCCATTATCCTCCACAAAATTACTCACTTCCTCAGTTGAACTACTGCTACTAAAGCTCTTTGACAAAAAGTTTCTTCCTTTTTCCAAGTACCCAAAACGCAATTCCTTACTAGATGGTTTAACAAGTGTGTAAGCGTGTGAATAAGGTTGTTGTGTATACAATTTTATTGATGTGTTGGGATAGCTTCTTAGCAGATGAGCCATGATGGCATTTGCAATATTACTCTTGCTGGCTAATTGAGAGTGTGTTTTTTTTTTTTTTTTACATGTTGGGTTTTGTTCTCTCTCTTCTTTCTTGCATGTGTATGTGCGAAAATGATGGAAGAGAATTCTGTCGACTCCACGAGTGGACATGATTCTTGGTTTGGTTTAGGCCATAAATGAATATGTCACGTGGAGAGCTTTCAGCCTACCACTTGGCTGACCCTCTAATTAATGAGAGAAAGAGAGAAATAAGCTAAAATTTGAGATGAATTAAAATTAATAAGTCAATAGTTTACATAAGTTAATAAATAGGTCAAATTACTGTTTTCGTCCATAACTTGTTTGGTTATGAACCATAACTTGACAAGTTGTTGTCTATAAATCACAATTTTTGTCCATAACTTGTCTGGCTATGAATCATAACTTGACAAGTTTGTTCATAACTTATCTAATTATGAACCATAACTTGATAAGTTATGGCCTATTAATTTCTATAACTAAAAGTTAGTCTATATACTTCCTTAAACGTTTCATATTGGTTTATTTTCTACTATTTCCGCTAATTAATTTAGCATTCAATACCATAACGAGTACAACATGTTTTCTTTTTCTTTTTTCTTTTTACTGAAAAAAAAGAACAAAAATATATAATAACCTCATTAATTACTCATATAAGATGGAACACAATTACACAAACACGTTTCATATATATATATATATACTATTTATTTTTGATAATTTCTCTCAGGAAGGCATGGACAACTCGACGTATAAAAAGAAGGGGAAAAGGCTCACTTCGATTTGCTCACTAAACTATTAATTTTAGACTATGGTTCACACAAGAAGAAATAATCAGAAAAACAATGCTAGAGCTCAGAACTAATCACGAGTGATAAACACAACAAAAAGAGAACGCTCCCTATTTATGGATCCAATGTTATATTCTCCTTTTTTTTTTTATTAATTTTTTATGTTTACAGAGTGCTTTGTAGTTAAAAAGTCCGAGAGAACGAAAAAAGAAAAATAAAAATCACGCGTGATTGGGGACTCATTAATCTATGGTTTGAAGTTAGAAACTTAAGTGGGTGTGATTTTCATAGTTATTTCAATATTTATTATTAATAGATATTATTATTTTAAATATGTGATATTGATCAACGCTTATACTAAATTAGATAATTTACAACAAAAAAAATTACAATTAATGAAATTAAATTTTTATCACGCAATATGATTAAATTTCTATATTTAATGGACAACTAGATAACCACCAATTTTAACGTATAACTCAAGTTCAAATTCAAGTTTTAACTCAAATCTTATTTCAAGTTTTGGGACAAAAAAAAGAGCTTATAATTATTAAAAACTTGTCCATATATACACATATAATATATATATATATATGAATTAAAACAATATAACATAATAAAAAAGAAACAAAAATCATAACACCAAAGAAAATAATAGAATTAACTTTAAAATTGCCCCAATTATATTACGGAAATAGTAGAAAATAGGCAAATATGAAAAACTTAAGGAAGTATATAGGCCAATTTTTAGTTATAAAAATCAATAGGCCATAACTTGTCAAGTTATGGTTCATAACTAGATAAGTCATGGACAAACTTATCAAGTTATGATTCATAGTCAGACAAATTATGAACGAAAACCATGATTTATGGACAATAACTTGTCAAGTTATGGTTCATAACCAGACAAGTTATGGACAAAAATAATAATTTGACATATTTATTAACTTATGTAAATTATTGACCTATTAATTTTAATTCATCTTAAGTCTTTACCTATTTTTCTCCCATTATGTCGGTGTCACTTTACACCCTAAACTTCAAAATCTATCAGTCCTCTTCAACTATGAAACGTTTGAAACAATACTCTTTTTGTCACAATTCCATCAATTCATGCTGATGTAGCATTAACACCCCCTTCTTTTTTTTTCTTCTTTTTCTTTTGCCTGATCAAACTGAGTAGCACTCCCTTTTTGACACTAGAGAGTAGTGACAAAGTGAAGTTAGTGTAAAAAGAAAATGATAATAATAGTAAATCATTTGTCATATATATTAGCAAATTCTTTCTAGAAGAGCTGGAGAAGATAGGCACATAACAAAATTTTACTAGACATGTTGAAATATAGCAAAAAAAATTAGAATATTTTTCAAATAACAAACTAAAATCATTAAAAAAACAATCAATACGTAATTTTAAACATACAAGACGCTAGCTTTATTATAATGATTATTAAGTAATTTTTTATTATTCTTAAATATTTAAAAATGTCAATACTTCAACTTAAGTTCTCATAAATTTAGCATGTAGCACAGGAAAAACAATCCAGTTCTAAGACCTAGTTTTGAACCATCAAATTAAATTTTTTTTAAAAAAAAAACCTAAACTTTTTAACCTTCAAATTTTTTTTAAAAGGCTCAGATTTTAAAGCATGAAAAAATTAGTTAAACTACGTAAAATCTGACATAATATGATTAATTAGACACATTCCAAATATTAGATCGGAGTCAAACACTTGTGTCTAAACAGAGCTGACCAGTAAACTTGCACTACTAGAGTAGCCGACAACAGCAAAACAGCAGAAGGAAAAGAGCCTGAAATTGGAAAACTTCACAAGGAAAAGGAGAGACAAAACTAGAGCCCAAGATAAGAAACGAATTGGAAACGAGGTACAGCCACAAGAAAAAATACCAGCAGTAATAATAATACAAATGAAAAAGAACAGACCACTCGTATCTATTTAAAAATCCTCCCAATGACAACGACCATAAAGACTAATGAACATAAAATAATAATTAAAAAAAAGGGCAATCACACAGCAACTTAGAAAACCAGCAAAATACACACCCACCAAAGAAGACCAGGTGGCAAAGCAAAAGATTTTGAGAGAACATAGATTTTGAGACCATGCGAAAGTGAGCATCTTGGTAATTTGGAAGAAGAAGAAAAGGCATATTTTAGTTTTATTTCCTTGATAAAACGAAAAAGCAACAAGAAATGGAACCGCAAAAGAACTAACTTACCAAAAGCAATAAAAAGAACGGGATATAGAAATTGTCTCAATGTGTACTTTCAGGAGAATGATGTATCCGACTTAAATTTACCGACTCAGACTCATTTGACCCAGACATCACAGCCTCACAATCCTTGGGAGAACCATCTGGAACTAACACAGGACCACTCATAGCATCACCAAAAGCCGGACTTTCCTCAGCCTGGTAAACAGCACAGCCACCATTGGCCTTGCTAATTTCGTTTAAATTATCACCATTGGTTGATAGAGATGCCACGGGAAGTGATGCATTATCGAGTGATGCAGAGCCATCAGCATTTGCATCCTCTAATTTCACTAGCTCGGAAGATATCACTTCCGTTTTCACTCCATCAAAAGTAGTGTGCGTCTCCCCTAGGTTGTCCTGAAAATCATCTTTAACCGGTATCTCCAACCTTGGAGAACGAGGAGAATTGTGATTCTGCACCTCGTGACTGGGCGTCAAAACAACCACCATTTTGTCCTCAGCAGCGACTGAGGAAATAGCTTCAACATTCTCCACGTCCAAATTCGAATTTGGTGCATCCACCATTTCCGTATATGAAGTTGGAACTGGGTCCTCGACTTTTCCCGCATCATGGTGGACCTGTTCTTCCACATTTTCTTGTTTGGACTTTGATACAATATCCAGTGTTCTCTTCGACAAAAATGGTCTTCCTCCTGCTTCCAGGCGGCCTTTCTTGTACAGATCCATAGCCCTCTGCAATACATGAATAACATCATCAACCTACTGCAAACTAGAAACAGTACACTCTACCAACAACTTTATGCGTCAAAGAAACAGTACAAGTTTTGAATGATATTTAATCTCAAACAATGCTGTGCACTTCCCAGATTATTAGAGAAATACTTTTCTGTGCACATATCTCCAAATACAGTTAGCTAGCCCATATCATCAATAGGAGGCCAGGCCAAGGACCATGTTTTTGCAATCCACCCAGAACTATATAATCCTAACTCCATAACTTCTCATCCATTCTCTCTAGAACAACCCTCGCCTCGTCACATGTCAACTCAACTTCTTTCAACAAAAAATTTAACCACAACTAACCGACCTCGTAAGAAGTAAGATTAGGAAAACAGCCTCACATTCAGTTTGGGGAAGTTCATAACCACTGCTTTGCTTCACTTAATCATGACTACTATTAACCAAAAGTCAAGAGAGAGAACTATAAAAATTTTCAAAATCCAACTACAGATATTTTGGATGGAAAAATAATAAACAAGACATTATCAACACAATAACTCCACATAATGTTCATCATAATGTACCTGAAATACAGAATCCTTTATGGCAGGTAAATGTGAGGAAATCCACGATGTTCTGAATGATTTGGCTCCAGCTCTTAAATGGTCCTGTGACATCCGAGGAAGCAGAAATGGAAACACAACAATTTTAAGTAAGCCTGAAATGAAAGATAATTAAAAATGAATTTTCTTTATTGTGGAAGTTCATACCTTTGACATTATAGGCCTAGTGGTCTCTTCATCAATAGTTTCACTTTTATCAATGTCTAGAAAGCTCCTACACTGGTTATACAACTCTGGACGTACAAGTTCCGCAGAAATGTCAAGCTTAGAAAGATAATAGCGGCTTAAAGAGGAAATATCATCCTTTGAAGATTTAGACGGTTCAAGTTTCTTCTCATGGATAACTTTAGGTGGAGACTCTTCTGCAGAAGAAGTTACACCAGACCTTGTTTCAGATAATTTGCCCTGAATGCCATGTTCGCGATTATCTTCATGATTAGACACCTGACCAACCTGAACAGCCAAAGCATCATCTACTGTGGCCTGCACGGGATAATCATCTTTGTGGGATGGAGAAAGCAAATCCCTTTTTGCATCTCCATTTTGTCCTTTCCACGTGTCAACACTGGATTCCCTTCCTCGACTGTTCATTGGATGCCTGTTCTGGTCCCACTCAGCTGCCCCAAACAAGTGAGGCTCGTCCCTAAAGACACCATTACTTCCATCCCAGCCATGCAAATGAGATGGCCCTGTGCCATCCATCATATTCTGCCAGCCAAGAGGACGCAAGTGACTGGAAAATCTGTCAGTATCGGTGATGTGATAAGGCAGGCCAGTGTGATTGATCTCCATGGAAGGTCTAACACCAAAAAGTGGACCTGGAAACTGCGGCATTATCCCTTGAAAAGCTCCAGGTGGCCCGTGTTGGAAAGGAATGAAGCCATTTGGTAGTGGTGAAGTCCAGTTTGGAACACCTCTCCAAGCATTATTATGCCCTCTTCCTATATTGGGGTCACCATTCCTCCGGTAACGTGAACCGGAATTAACCCTACTATCATCTTCCATTGGACCCGTAAAAGAAGGGCTATCAATTCCAGCCCTGAACACAGGGTGTGGAGGAATCAAAGATGAGTTAGCCTGATTATTTCTATTGTAAAAGGATGAATCGACTGGAGAGGATTCGTCCACCAAAGGTTTCTCTGATGGCAAGTCACGACTCAGTCTATCATCAGAAATACCAAAATCTCGATAATCACTGCTTCTACGCCCCGTTTCTTCGATGTCAAGGCTTCGCCTAGCACCAGGCCTATTCATGTACCTGCGGTCAATACTTGAAGATGAAGGAGATCTCTCCATCAAGCCCAAGGGCGAAGCTTTAGAACTAGAAGACTTTTCATTTGACAGCTCTCCTAACATAGTGTCATCAATTTTAGGGGGTTTCTCCACAGATCTGTATTTGGAACCTCTTTCCAATGCTCCAGAAAAACCAGACGCATCTTTTGAAGGAACTGCTTTGGACCTTTGTTCTGCTGTAGAATCTCTGTACTTCAAATCTTCTGGATTTAGATACCTGTAGTTAGGGGAAAAAGACGAGATTTTACTATTCGATCAACTGATGCTTAATGAAAGAATATGTGCGATGTGTCCTCCATAGAATGATACATGTCAATTCAAATATAAATTTATATGGGAGATCAGTATATATATGTAGATCCTGTACTTAGGTGAACATATCAAGAATTTCTATGGGTATATGCTATGTTTAAACAGTTCTCATGAAAACAAGGTTTAATGTCCTAACACGTTAGGTAGAATAGATTAAATGTTTACATCTCACTGTGGTGAGTCTCCCAGTTTGAATATATTGGGCAGTAAGTACAATACCAATTATCTTAAAGGTAGATCTGTTTTGTATGCATCCATAGAAAATAATTTAAAAGGATTATTACATGTCATTGTGATAGAAAAGGCCACTGAAAGCACTACTTTTATCATAAGATTGTAAAGTTCAAGAAACTATAGTTGTCAAGAACACAACATAGAATATACTAGTAACTCCAGTAAGAATAGATGTTCGAAATAACTCCCTCAGTCCCTTGAGCATGTTATTTGACGTGTCATAGACAAGATAGATAGGTCTTTGCCCGCCTTCAGGATATGATTACAATTAATCAATTATTACGCAGCCAACAAAAGAATAATCTCTTTTCCAATGGTTGCATTCAAACAGAACAGCCGTTTTATAATTGGTTCTCACATCATTAAATAGCCTAATCATAACAGAACTTAAAAATTAATTCAATTGCCAACACACGCCCAGTCCAATAACATTTTAAACTTCACCAAAATGTGGAAAAGAAAAAAGCAAAATACCTGAACTCATCTAAGCCTACATGCGGACTAGAACTTGGGGAATTCCTCTGTTTGTCACTGCTCCCAATAGCATCTACATGAGTTTGCCGAGAATGAGATCTTCCCTTATTAGCATCTGACTCACTTCGATCGCCACTTATAGACTTCTTTTCCATATCAGAATGACGAGCTTTGGAACCTCTAGATGGAATATCACTAAAATCATCACGATCATCAGGAGATTTTCTCTTTGCCTTGCTATCTTTGTATCTGGAAGTCCGGTCATCATGATGAGAGCTACCATAATCCCGATCAAAATCATGATCTTGATCATAGTCTCGATCTCGGTCACGGTCTCTATCTCGATCACGGTCTCTATCTCGATCACGTTCTCTCTCACGGTCACGATCTCGCTCACGATTGCGCTCTCGATCACGATCACGATCACCATCCCAATCCCAATCATGGTCACGATCATAATCACGATCACGATCACGACCGCGCTCACGTTCATGCTCACGCTCACGATCATGATAGCGGTCACGATCGCGATCCCTCACAGGGTTTAAGTCCCGATGGCGATCCCTATCCCGATCACTCTCTCCTTTGCGCTCACCATCATGAAATTTAGATTTCTTATTTTGCATTTCTGGAGTGTCTTTTTCATCTTTTACATGCTTATCTTCAGACCTGCTGCTAAACTGATCCTTTGTGGAGCGCTCATCTCTTTGTCTGTCATCCCGATGCTTATTGTCTCTGTCAACATCTTCTCGATGCTTCTCTTTGTACCTGTCCTCTTTGCGTTTCTCATCTTTTTGTCTTCCATCCTTGCCAGTATCATCCCTCGAAGATAATCTTCTATCATTGATGTCTCCCATATCAACTTGATGTTTGTCCACATCAATAGAGCTATCTCTTCTTTTCCTCATTCGTCTTTCAAGTTGGTTATCTGGTTCAGGACTTCCAGATTCACACTGAGCATTCAGATCTGCAGCACCACATAATTAGGATAATCAATTCCAGTTTCACAAGGATATGAAACAAATATAGTTTCAACCCAAAAAAAAATAAAAAATAAAAAAGTGCCTGCTCACATCTTCAATAAACCTAACCTTTCCCCATCTCATATACGACAGAAATTTATTTCTTTTCTTTTTTCCCTCTCTATTCTTTATTCTTACTATTATTTATCACTTTATAAACAAGGCTGACTGGACAATCCAACTCTAGCATATTACTCACTTCACATCTATTAATCCAGCCATCCCCATCTTTAGATCAACAATCGTGTTGTATAATAATTATATAAAAAAAAAATCAATTCTTTTCCCCAAGACACAAATAGTTGTTTATTAATTTCTAGCAGAAGTATTAACTTGCTCATTAATGACAGCAATAAGTTCTTCAAAATCCTATTTGAAATAAATGCATTTTTTATTAAGTTCCATATCTAGGATTAGGATTATTTGGACTTTTTTTTTTTTTTGGGGGGGGGGGGGACTGTTTTTTTTT